AGAAGAAGAAGAAGAAGAAGAAGAAGAAGAAGAAGAAGAAGAAGAAGAAGAAGAAGAAGAAGAAGAAGAAGAAGAAGAAACAATAAATATTAACATTTTATGCACATGATTTCTTTTGTTGGATGTTACTCACCGTACCAAATTTACAGGTCATAACTGTAGCCTCTAGTTGATGAGTAACTGACACATTTTTCATCTTGTAGTATTGCCAGGTCAGGTCAACCACGTCTTCATAAGTGAAGTTGCCCTGTGGTAACAAAGATAACAATAAAATGGTTTAAATAATGACGTTCTGTCCGTTTCTTTTCATACGCATGTTTCAATAATAAAATACTAGCCTAGCCCACGAGAAAAAAAAGTTTTCCTCCGGGGATGGGGTGACACAATGCAATACAATGCAATACAATGCAATACAATACAATGCAATACAATACAATGCAATGCAACTCGAAACTATACAATGCAATATGTTTATCATATCATGTACGCCATCCCCACACACAAGTAGCCTAGTGGTTAGGCTTCCGGACTCGTAATCGTGAGATTGATTTGCGGGTTCGGCGGTTGGAGCCTTAGCATGGTCTGACGATGTGTCATAGTGAAAGGCACTTTACACAAATTCCCCATTTGGTTCGGTCCTTTCTGAAAAGGACGTTAAACTTGGAGGTCCTGCCTCTTCAATAAACTAATAGTGTTGATAGAGGCGTTAAAATTATACCATTTGACCATTTTCGCACACATACAATGGCGTCCAAAAGAAATTTGAAAATGTATTCACCCAATCACCGTGTTAATGCCTTGCACTGCTCACTCATGCAGCATGCCAGTTTAAAGCAAAATACATTCTGCATCATCTCATCTATTTTAAGAGACGTCCAAGATATTGTCACTCAAAATTGTCCTTAAAAAATCAAGCTTGGCAAAATCGTGCAAAATCAAACAAACGTAAAATTGTCTTCACGCATGTATTGAGGAGTATCAGTATTGATAAAATAGACATACATTGCATATCCAATGAATGGATAATTTTGCCTCTGAAACAAACAATATTTTGTTACAATTGTTTCAAACAAAAGAGAGCACTCACAAGTACCGCACAAAATTCGAACTTCACATGTTATTTTGCTTAGGAGCCACTGATTTTGTGTAAAACACAAACCCTTCATGTACGTCTCTCTTTTGGACATAATAATTCTTCATTTCACTCCTAATATCACAGAGAGTTGAAAAAAAGGGCCTGAACTGAGAGCAAAGTCGTTTTTCTTCAGTTGCTGTTTAATTGGGCTTCACATGCCTGTAGGATTTATATCGGGGCCATTTACTAATGACCACTCGAACGTTGATATGATCTTGTTTTCCTTTGAGACAGTGCTTTGTTATGCATGGAGATGTCTACTTGAAGGTTACTATGACGAAAATAAGGGTAAAGCATGACCTTTCAGCACTTGCTCGATGTAGTTCACTAAGCCAAGCCATCCGCTGATTCACACGAGAGGGGTTTTGTTCATTCCACCCCAGACCACCCAAAAACCATTGCAGTTTCATAGCTTCCGTTCCTCACAGACAGATTATTAAGTCCAAAATCTTACTAACACACTCCAGGAGCAAAAAAAAGTTTTGTGCTCTACGTAAAACTGGTCACTCTTTTCCATGATAAGACACGTTAAGACATGTTAAGACACGACATTTTGTGTCTTATCATGTCTTATCGTGTCTTATTGGTAAAGTGTCTTATCGTGGAAAAGAGTGACCCTATAAAACCAATAGCTCTTAAATAAAATAAAAATCATACAAATGAGCACATGTAATGTTAAGGCTAGGTTTTGCGTGCTATTTGTGACTGCTCTACTTTTCAATCTGTTTGAAAATATCATCAGAAGATGTTGTTCTTTGCAGAGACAATAATAATCTCTTTTCATTTGATATTCAATACATGCCCCTTACACCAATGTTGTAACACCTGTATATACTCTCGAACCAAGGACTACTATACTAGTCCTTGGCACGAACACATTTTTACCTTTCTTTGTTTTTGCACAATTTTGCGAAGCCTGTTTTCTTAAAGGGCAGTTTTAGGTAACCATATCTCGGGCGTCTCTTAGCATAGATGAAACATAAATGTGTGAGATGATACAGAATTGATTTAGCTTTAAATTGGTATGTTGCAGGAGTGGCTAGTGCAAGGTCTTAACACGATGATTGGGTAATTACATGTACAAGTTTCTTTCGTATGTATATATATATCTATATTCATATCTATATCTATATTTATTATACATACATATATATATATAAACATAATATATATATATATATATATAATTAGAGACTTCAAACCAAACAAAAAGAAACAAAGACAATCCAGAAAGAACAGTGTGGCAGCTACGAGAACTCCAGCGATTGCAAGGAGACCAAGTTACTATCGTGGTAATACCTTGAGCCCCTCAATTGAATACTAGCAAGGTAGTGTTCTTCCGCAATAAGACTGAAACTGCAGCATACTGAAGTATATTCTAGACACTGAAGTTATTGCAATGCGACAACCAGGCACCGTTGGCTAATGCAGAGTTGGACTATTGTTGTTGTCATTATGATCAAATTGAATATACATCAATGTAAAGGAATGAAAGTATGCAGTAGACTGTATTACTTTTATGTCTTCATATCAGTGTTAGTACATATCGCAATTAACTCACAGGATTGCGCCATAGATTCTCAATGAAATCGCTATCCGTCACGGCGTTTATCAAAGACGACCGAAAAGGGTTGAGGTTACATATGGTGATCACCGGAAACTCCATGTCGGGGTTGTAATGTACGCTGGTCTGCGTGGTCGTTGGGTTGTGGAGAAAGTCCTTTAGCGTCTGGCTAAGGTTGAATGTAGCTAGACAAGCCCCTGCCAGGACTAGCGCTGCCCACAAGGGACGCTTCCATTTGCTCTCACTGGACACGGCACGCTGAAGGCCATGCATGCTGGTGGACTCGCTGAACTCTTGGAAAAGTCCCATGCTGCTCCACAGTGCCAGGTTCCAGGTTGAAGGAGTTTTAAATATTTTTTGAAAATCAAGTCTTGGTTTAGAAGCTTAACCTTCGTGGCGAAGTACCTTTGTTTCTGGGGGCAATTCGGCACACTATTGCAGGTTATAACGTAATTGGATTAAACAGTAATTATCGTTTTTATCTGTTAGTAATAATGACAGAACTTCGTGATTTGAGGG